TGAGCTTCTTAGGGGCGTCTGGGTCTGTGATCTTCACTCAGATCAAAGTATAGATACTCTGCTTTCTTTGTTATAACCTGAAATGCATTAAAAATCTTCCATTGCTGAATGACAGCAGAAGCTGCAAGGGTTTATTTATTCATTTGTTGAATCTATATCCCACCATTCTCCCGAGATTGAATTCAAGGTTGCTCACAATAATTTTTTAAAAAAAGATTAAGCTAAAGCATTTATTTACAAAAGTTAAAAAATTAAATAACAATATGATATAATAACAATAGTATTTTTAAAACATTATTTAAAACAAATATTTGTAATCTAATAATATATTTAAAACATAATTTCCAGTAAAATCAACATAAATGAGAAGAAGCCTCCTCCTGCAGTGTATCACATTAGAAGAAAAAGAGACTGATATAAGCTAGACCCCAAAGTGAACAAAAACTTTCCTCCAAATCCATATTGTAACTGATTCAAGAAATCTACCACTGCTCCTGGATCTAAAAGTAAATACACTAAAGCTGGTAGTTCCTCACACTCAGAGAGGATTACCTCTCCCAGCAACTGCACAGATAGCAAGATTAAACCTGACAGCACCAAAAGACCAAATCCAATGCAGCACAGCAAAAGTGTTTTAATCTTATTCTGCAGTCCTGTTCTATCAGGTAATTAACAGAGGATGGCCATCTGTCAGGAGTGCTTTGATTGTGTATGGCAGGGGGTTGGACTGCATGGCCCTTGGGGATATCTTCCAACTCCATGATGCTATGATTAGTGAGACTGGTGGAAAGCAATGTACCCAGTTCCCAGATGACAAATGTTGTGACTAGGATGAGAAGAATTATCACAGTCCCATTTCTTCTGATCCACTCTATAACAAGATTGTCACCCAGGGCCGCTAAAACAATTTCAGTCCCAAATCTGTTGTGATCCCAGCCTGGTGCAAGCCTAGAATATTAACATAAGAATCAGTGTAGTGTAGTGGTTTGAGCATTGGACTATGACTAGGGTTCAAATCCTCACTCAGCCATGGAAACCCACAGGGTGGCCTTAGGCAAGGCACACTCTTTCAGCCTCAGAGGAAGGCAAAGGCAAACTCCCTCTGAACAAAGCTTGCCATGAAAACCCTGTGACAGATTCGCCTTATGGTTGCCATAAACTGGAAATGACCTGAAGGCACACAACGGCAAGAGTCCCCTGTCTGACCCCAGTACACCCTGCTCTATCACTTTACCCAGGAAAGCTAACATCAGTACAGTCAGCCCTTAATATCCATGGATTCTTGATCCACAGATTTAACCAACCACAGCTTGAAAATATTCCAAAAATGTATACATTTTAAAAAGCAAAGCTTGATTTTGCTATGTTATATAAGGGGCATCATTTCATTATGCCATTGTATTTAATATTTTAATATTAAATATTTTAATATTTCAAATTTAACATTTAACATTTAATATTTAATTTAAATTATTATATTGTATTCAATGGGACTTGATTTTGGTATTCACTGCAGTTCCTGAAACCAAACCTCAGTGGAGACTGAGGGTCCACTGTACTGGTCTAGAATTACCTCAACAGATTAGCTCTTCAATATTTTTAAGAGTATTGATTACAACCTTCTTCAAAGAGGCATTAGTATGCTGCCAGAGGTGTTAAAATAGAATTAAACAATGGCTCAGCTAATTTTATAGATCACAAATTAAACATGGATCAGCTAGTTTTATAGATCACAAAGATCAAGGTCAACTGGGCATGTATAGGGCCTCCACTCCAAGAATCTTGTTCTAATTTATATCAATATCAATGGAAAGTTATGCATTAAAAAAAAAAGACAAGCAGATACTTCAAGCACTCTTTCAAGAAGTACACATACTGCAGAATCAAAGCTGGAGTGGATGCAAGTGATTTTATCTGTTAATTTAATTTAATTTAATTTATAACCATCTTTTCTCCAATATGGGAATCATGGTGGCTTATTGTATATAGGGTATAACATGAGACAGATAAGGGGATGCTGGAAGAAACAATCTTTCTTTGACATCACTGCTGTTTTAGCTCGGACTCTAAAATGTACAGCTAAACTGTGTTGAATCAGATACAACTTGAGTTTTCCTCAATATTCAAGATGTAACCCAAGCAGCTGCAGAGCTTGGAGATCCTGGTTGGCTGAAGGAGATCCTCTTCCTAATACCTAGGAATAAATATGTCGGATCCAGGTTGAGATGCACAAAACTAAGCTTGTTGAAGCAGTGCTTTCCTTGCCCTATTCTCTATGGCAGGGGTAGGCAACTTTTCCCCTTTAAGGGCCAAGGGACTTCAGCTCCCAGAATCCCAGGAGCTATTGGCCAACATGGGACTATTGGCCAACATGGCTGAGGCTTCTGGGAGCTGAAGTCTGTCGGCCCTTAAAGGGGAAAGGTTGCCTACCCCTGCCCCATGGCATCTATTGCACTGCCTCAAAAGTATACACACAGAGGCTAGGAAACCTCTGTCAGTGAATTCTTTCTGCTCACAGAAACCAGACTTTGGATCAAACCCGGTAGATAGCCAATAATTTGTATCTTAAATCACCAAACTTCACCAATATCTGTAAGTCTCTCCCTTCCATTCACCTGAAAAAAAACTCTTCCCCTTACAGGCTTCCAGGATCTACTTGGTTTTGTATGAGACTCTCAGGATCCAACTAGTGGGAGCCAAGAGCAAAACAGCAGCTCAGGACAGGCACAGGCCAAGAAGAATGAATGAACAGTGGGTCCCTGAGCCTACAACTTAGGAGGAGGATTTGTTTCCCACTTCAGGACGAAGCACTAGTTTTACTTAAAACCCCATCTATTTTCCTTCTCAGGTTATCTTCCTTTTTAGTCTTACAAAGACTAAATGGGGGTGGGATCAGAAACCTTTCCAGACCTAGCGCCAGTCTATTTTCTGCCCACTTCTGCACCAGAATGTACATTGGAGAGGCAGACTGACAATGGGTATCATCTTCAGCTTGAATACATCGAATTTTCTTGCATGCAGACGAACACATTAATGCTGCTCAGTCATCCAGACAAAAGACTTTGGAAAATAGAGCTCTCTGCTTCAGAAAACCAATTCATACACCTAGCTTACCAGTCAATGATGTCACTTGCACTCCAAACAAGAAAGACAGTCGCTAGTTTAAGCAAATTAAATGAAAACAAGTGTCTTTGCAGCCCACATTGTGTATACACTTCTTTTGTTCCACTGTTGCCTTTTTAGGTTTTAGACTCTACTAAATCTGTGAAAAAAAGATGATACTACAGACTCCAGTGACTTTAAGCTACTGCAGTCAGCTGTCTGAACAAACTACTGCTTCTTTCAGCCCAATTAGTTTAATGGGGATTTCAGTCTAATACCCATATTTTCAGCCTGAAAGAAATGAATGATGAAGAGCCTTGAAAAAAACAAACTGTTCCAAAATATTGGATGGAGAAATCAGTGCCAGAACTTTTTAATTCCAAAAGTTAGGACTGCATCCAAAGCCAAAAGAAAAAGAAAAAGAAAAAAAGAAAAAAAGATCACTGCTGCTGCTGCTAAATATTTCATAGCCTGAGACTCCAAAAAGGGTCTGCATTAACTTTAGCAGAAGTGAAAAATAGGTCGGTGATTAGAGCAGAGGCAGCTTAGAAAAGAAACTTGGCAACTGACAATTGTACTAAGCTGTAGCCTTTAACTGCAAACATGCTTATAGGGATGTGAAATACATTGCCAAAGGTTCTGTTGGGTTGTGCCTGACCTTTGTTTACCAGTGAAAGGAAGTAAATCATATTGATCCTTTGCCTTCCAAATTTGACTGAATATATTCAGCACTTCAAAGTAATTTGCTTCATCAGCAATCGTGTAATGGCTGTTATAAAATATTAAAAAAGCATGCAGGTTTTGGTTGCTCCCTTAATAATTTATTGTACGTAAATAATAAGTGATTGCATAACTTCAATAAAAGTGATGCTAAGTAATTGAGGTCGGTAAACCTCAAAGTATTTATGCCCCAGACCAATCAGAAAGATCCACAAATTGCAGAAAATTTGTACATGCCATTTTCTTTTGACATTGCCAACCACACTTGAGTGGACCCAGTCAGGTGTATATCCACATAGACCACGGATGGAAAAGCTCAGGTCTACCTGATGCTTTGGATTTCATCTCCCAGAAGCCCCGACAGCATGGACTGAGACTGATATGGTAAGAGACTATGGCCAATGTCTGGAGAGCCAAAGGTTTCTCACCTTTGATAATGACCTTACAATTGGTCTTACTTGCTAAACACATGCGTCTCTCCTAAGTCAAAGGAGAGGTGAGGCTTTGTTTTGAACATCAAGCTAAGTCTGAAGCATTTACAAACCCAACAAAGTCATAGACTTGGGAGTTTATCACACAAGTCCCATCCCCACCATGATCACGGTTCACACTAATAAAGGGAAACAGATACATACTGGGTTGGAAGCATTCCCTCTCACACGTCTACAGTAGAGTGACAGGGACGTCGTGCTCTCTTCCACTCAGCTCCCTGACCCCGTCTCCCTGCCCTATGTCCTTTCAGGGTTTTTATTTTTTGTTTTTTTTATTTTTAATGCAATTCCAAAAATATGCTAATACAATTTTTTTTAAAGAAAATTAAAAAGAAAAATTTAAAAAGTAGGGGGAAAAACCTGGGGGAAGCAAGGTGGAGCGCGGAAAGGAGGAGACACTGACACCATGTGACTACCCAATACTGGAACTGTTGTGCAAAGAACTTATCACACCTGAGGATAAATGGGACAGCAGTTTGTGGGTTTATTGATGAGTTTTCCCATCAGTGGCAAGATACTCTTTAACCGTGCTTGGGAGACAAGGCAGCAATGAGATGGAGATGATACTGTGCGGTAAGTATTGCCAAAGGCACTATTTTCAAATCATGATGGTGGCTTAAAAGTTGTGTGTGATAAAGACCTTGGAAACAATGCTTCTATTAATGCTGGCTAAAATAACATTTGAAAGGCAGCGTGGCACAGTGCTCTGAGTGTTGGATTAAGGCACTGAAAGGCCAGGGTTGAAATCCCTGCTTTGCCATGGAAAGCCACAGGATGGCCTTGGGCAAGTCATACACTCTCAGCCTCAGACGATGGCAATGGCAAACCCCCTCTGAACAAATTCTGACAAGAAAATACTGTGATAGGTTCACCTAGGGTCTCACTAAGTCAGAAACAACTTGAGGGCACACAACAACAATAACAACAACAAAATAGCATTCACTTTCTTTGCCGCAGTATCACACTGCTGGCTTGTGTTCAGTTTATGATCAGCAATAATCTCAATGTCCCCTTTGCATGCAGTACTGTTGAACCATGTATCGCCATCCTATACCTATTCATTTGGTTTTTGTAGCCTAAATTAGGGAATTTTGCATTGATCTCTATTGAATTTCATTTTATTTATTTTTGCCCAATTTTCTAGTTTATCTACATGCTTTTGAATTCTATTCCTATCTTTCAAGGTGTTAGCCAGCCCTCCCAGTTTTGTGTTATCTTAAAGCTGCATAAGGATTCCCTTCACCCTGTCATCTAAGTCACTGATGATAAAATAATACAAGGTCAGAGATGAGTCTGGTTTCAGAAAGGCCAGCAAGGCTGGTGATGTTAGTGGCCACTACATTTACTAATGCTTCTTCAGAATTAGCAGAAAAAGTTATACCCAAGGATTCTAGCAGTTGCTGTAGCAGCAAAAATGGTAGCACTCTAACCACTATTCTGCTACCAATAAGGTAACTGCTAGAATTGCCAAGGGCATTGATGGCTGATGGATTCTGGAAGCCATAGTCCAGAAAAGTAGCATTTCTAAACTACACTGAAGCGCTGCTGAAGTGGCAGGTGCTATTCACTGGTGGCACTCTTGCCATTCTGAGGTTGAAATGCATACTATCCCTAATTCATATTACTTATTTCATGCCTTTCTCCATCCTATGATGGATTATGGAGTGAACTAAAGAATTCCAAAAGAAAACCAGCATATGTTTTATAGGTTATAGCAAAGCCTTGCACTCCATAGAGCATGAAAGGCTATGGAGTATGCTTAAAGAAATGGGAGTGCCACTACATGATTCTATGATTCTATACATTTGATATTCCTGATAAGGAATCTGTACTTAGGACAAGAAGCTACTATTAGAACAGAACATGGAGAAACAGAATGGTTCCCAATTGACAAAGGGGTCAAGCAAGGTTGCATATTATCACCCTATTTGTTAAACTTGTATGTAGAAAACATTATAAGAAGAACAGGATTAGACTCAGAAAACAGAGGAGTGAAGACAGGAGGAAGGAACATCAACAATCTGAGATATGCAGATGACACCATAATACTAGCAGAAAACATAATAATTTGGAACAATTAATAAGGAAAGTTAAAGAAGAAAGTCAGGCTTACTGCTAAATATTAAGAAAAAAATGACCACAGAATATCTTCCTAAATTCAATCTAGATAACAAGGAAATTGAAATAGCTATAAGAATACAAATTTTTGACAACAGAATTAATAAAAAGAGGAATAAGATTCTCATGGGACAGGACTGAGGGACTGTCACTAACATATAAGCAAAAGAGAATAAGAATAAATTCTACAGATAAGGCAAGAGAATTCTTGAGAAAATTGAAGACAACTAAGTGGGAGGAGAAGAAAGAGGATGAAACCAAAGAAGAAAGAATGAAAACAAGAGCAACTACAAAAAAAGAAAAAAGACGAGACTATTCAGATATTGAGTTAGAAGAGGAAGAAGGAGGCACTGACTTAGGCATGGAGATGGGAGGAGGAACCTTGCAAGATGGAAGTGATTTATTGAGAGAAGGAAGTCAGGATGAAGAAGAGATAGAATTAAAGACTGCAGAGTAAATAATTCATTTACATAAATATAAAGGAAATTTTAAAAAAAATAACCAAAATGGTGACGGATATAAAAATAATTTATTGGAATGTAAAGGGAATAAACTCCAAATACAAGAGAAGCAAATTATTTCATTATTTACAAAAGAAAAAGCCACAGATTATTTGTTTACAAGAAACAAAAATAAGGAAACAA